GAGTTTAGGGAGTTCTAAATTAGCTGTCAGGCTGCCAACCCTGAAGAAGTGCTATGTCAGCTCATTAATTCTGGAGAGCACAGGATTACCCAAACCTAGGAAGGAATCCTGCAAAATTTAGAGTCAATTAAAGGAGGCTATTTTGCTATAATAATATTTTCCACACATATTACACCTCCTCATGGAACAGAGCCCACTTCTACCACAAATGAAATCTCTGGCGGGATGGAGTGTGGCTGATGTCTAGACAGCTGTAATGTGCTCTCCATGGGCTTGTCCACTGGCATCTCTGGGAAGCTCCAGCTAGAGCAGAAGGTGGGGACAGCAAGCTGCGGAGCACATCACCCAAGCCGGGGTGGCCCCAGGAAGGAGGAACCTATCTCCCCGAGGTCCTTGCTTTCCCCATACCACCCAAAAAAGCACATCTGTATGGGGCATGATGGAACATCTGTATGGGGCGTGATAGAACATCTGTACAGGGCGTGACATTCCATACCAGGAGCACCCATGGAGGTCATGCCTGGCATCGTGCAATGCACACCACCTCCTGAATTTGCTTCCCTCCTGGGTCTGCCTGAACCCAGATTTGTCGACAACCCGCTAGCAAGCCCATGTTTCGTTAACCTCCCCAAACCTCCTGTCTCAGGAGCATCTCCCAAGTCCTGAGCTAAAACCCAGCTGAACGCAAGGGGAGTCTTCGAGAGGACTTCACTGGCTGAGGGTCCATCCCCCAGGGTGGCTGAAACCACTGGCAGCGATGGGGTGCCGAGAAGGAGAGATGTCGTACCTGTGCACCATGGCTTTTTCAAACAAAGCCTCCCCTGCTGTGGACTAGAACGTTTATAAACGAGAAGGTTCATCAACGAGAAGGTTCATCAACAGGAAGGTTCATGAAATAGATGGTTTGTAACTTTCTAGGGGACCCAAGAATTTTTTTAAACTCTGATAGACTAGGTCAATGGACAAAATATCACTGGATAGCAACCTGGGACACAGTGATTAATAATCTACCCCCACATGCCGCATCCCAGCCTTCAGGACACCCAAGCACTCGTCGCAAATAAAAGTTCCCTCCGCAGAGAGGGCAAGCCCAAAGACCCCCCCACCCCGCCTCTCTCCGGATGGCTATCGCTTCTCATCACCCCGCAGGACAGCAGTAGCCAGGGACAAATTAAAACAAAAATCACATGGCTGTGAAATACAAATGAGGCAAAAAATGCCTTCACCCAACCAAGGGAGCTCTGTCTCCCCAACTGCGCCGGATACAAAGATCATGAACAAACAGGATAGAATGTCTTCTGCCTTTTGTGAAATGAAAATAAATGAAAGGATCTAAGGTTTCAGGTCACTGATCCCTCTCTTCCCTATCTGTACCATTTATCGGAGGTAGAATATAAAGGTTCCAGGTCCTTTTCTTTTTTTTTGTCAGCACTTTAATGGTTGTTTTTTCTCCTTCCCCCTTTCATTTTCTGAATGAAAGGACCACTTAGGAACCTGTAAAGTAATAATAAGCTTATAACAGGAATATTGTTGTTCTGGGCCAGTGCAAACTCCTTCTGAATAGGTTGAAGAGATTAAAGTAAAAATGCAATCTGTAAATAGATCAGTCTTTTAATTAGTTTATAGTCTGTTAAGAGATAATATTTTGCTCACATAGATCGTCTGTTATCTAAAGATCTCAGAGCACTTTAGGAACATCAATTAAGCCTTAAAAAAAAAAAAAAACCAACCTTGGGAGATAGGTAAGTGTATTTAGATTAATTAGTGTTGCTGTGAGCAGCAGGCATAATTATTAGATTTAATTTAGTCCAATAATTGACTTATCTGTTAATGGATTCTAATTCATCTGAGAAGGGATCAAATCCATCTGATTAAAAGGATTACATCGACTCAATTAATTCTATTAACTGACTTAATTTGCCATTTAATAATTTGACACATGGGGCCAGATCTTGGCCCCGAAGAACACATAAACCAAAAACTACATAGCGGAATTATTACACCAGCAAAACCACGCATTGCAGAGCATGCGTTTTTCCTTGCACATGGCATTTGCAGACCCAGCTAAAACATTCAAGGGGCCTTCCTCCGGCCGGACTCCGGTATCTTCTCTCCCTGAACCAGGGCTGGTCATTTTGCGGTGCTCGCGGGGCTGCCTGAAAATGAGCAATTCGCTGCCTGACATCTGCCACCTCCCCTCTTTTCTGGGCATTCTCTACAACCAAGAGGTGAGAAGTTTTACAGAAGTCAATAAAACCTTGCCATAAAACTAACCTTCCTTCAAAGGCAGGACAACCCTCCGACGCCAGCCATTTGGAAGCTGTATATGTGCAAAAAAAAAAAAAAGGGGGGGGGGGGAGGAGCAGCTCTTCCCTTGGCCACTGTTCTTTAACCAGTTGTGAATGCATGGGAGGAGAGGGGAAAGAGGTGCTAAAACGTTACTAGCTTTTAAGGATGAGGGCATCCTTAAAACTGGCCGGTGCTAATTGCTGGGGATGAGCACTATGGACCTTAGCCACAGCTCGAAAGAGCTTCCCACGTTAAGACTGAATCTGCATTGCCCTTGCCTAATGTCCTCTGAATGGGACTGAGCTGCTGGGAGAATTCAGGGCTGGAGCCAGCCAGCCTACGGGCACCTTTTTTCCCACGTCTCTCGCCTTTTCTCAGACATTGGCTCTTGCTCGTCCTCCCAAAGCCTTCCCCGGGCTATAATCCCGAGGACATCAGTGCACATCACCTCCACCACCATCAACCCCGGCCATGGGGATGGGGTTAAGACAGTGGAGAAGCTGCGGGAGACCACACTGTCCGCAAGGGCGAGGTAGCCAAAAAACGAGCCAGGCACTCCCCAGTGCCGAGCCTGGCTCTGGCTCCCCATGCAGGCGTAGAGGTGGTGAAAGAGGGAAGAGGAGAAAAAAGGGCAGGAGGAAAACCAGCCATCTGCTGCGCGAGAGGGAAGGTGTCCTCCTTCAGGGGCAGATCCCACCAGCAAGACGGAGATGTGGATCAAAAGTCTGCAACTGTTGAGATCCCCAGACCTGGTTTAAGCCTCTCTCTGGTCTTGATCAAAGGTTACTCCAGAATAATGCCTCGGGGGGAGGGGTTCCCGGCACATAATGAATCCTGTGTCACTGCCTTTGTATCCAGTTTTGGCTGTAACACAGATGGTTCTCACTTCAGTAACTCTGACATCTCTCCCCCCTTCATTATCACAGCCAGGAGCTCTGCGTGGCCACATCCTGGACCTCCACGTCCCACCTCACTGTCTCCCCGATTATCATGCTCTAAGTGTTCCCGTGCCAAGCAAGATGATGAACAGATTTCCATAACCTTTCAGCACGGCTAGGGACGGGAAGGCTTTGCAGCTTGACGCATCAAGGAGGTTTATTAGGAGGCACGGGGGGGCAGGCAGGCGGGGGGGGCAGCAAACAGCCTCCACGGCTGGAGCGCTCCGGGTTGTTAGAAGGATGCCAGCAACCAGGAGCAGGGAGGGTTTGGTGGCCAGCAGCGACGCAGGCACCGGCGAGCTCCCCAGACGGGAAATCTCAGGCTCCGCAATTGTGCGGCATTGCCACCGGTCACGAGCACGCTCCTGCGCGACGATTTGTTGTTCAGGCACGATTGCATATGTATGAAGGGGACAAGATGGGCTTTGACACATAAATTAGCACTTGTCAGCTGCTCACGGGCACACTTCCCTGCTGCACCCCACAGTAAATGCTGCCTTCTTTTATGGAGAGGAAAACTGCATCACGTTACCTGACAGCCACCGTGGGCAAGAGCGTTCCCCAGGAAGCCAGCAGCCAGCACGCAGCGACTAGTTTACATATCAAACCTTAAGAGGATGAATGCAATAAAATGACACAATAATTAGCAGCCAAGTGGCACTTCTCCACTCCTGTTTTATCTGGAAATTTGGGAATGACAAAGGACAAGGTTGATGAGACCTCGGGGCAATGGGGTGACTCTACACCACAGCCCTGGGGGTTCATTTTCACACCAGCCAGGTGCTTTCTAGATCTCACGGCTCGCCTGGTGGCAGCAGCCAGAGCTGCCCCCTCTGCTAGGCACAGCGTGTACCTCATCCCACCTGAAGCTCCCCGCAGGAACCACCGTTCCCAGGTTTTGACCCACTGTCATCGTAGCCCACCTCCATCTCAGCAGCACTGCATGTGAAGGCAACCCCCGGTGAACACGCGCGCTAGCCAACGCATACACGCGCCTCTGCAGCAACGTGTGAACGCACGGGGCTGTACAGCCCTAGGAGGAGGAGGACCGGTTCTCTGACCAGCCCCCAATTCCTTCCAGCAATCAACTTGAGCAAAAGCATCTCTGCTGCAACCATCTCAAAACGTACCCGAAGTGCAGAGTTTCTCATAATTCAGCCTGCTAGAAGCATTTCTAGCACGTTGCTTGTGTGCAAATCACAGTGAGAACAGTTGAAAGCGCTGCCAGCCCCAGGGAAGTTCAATTATTTGCATCCCTTGCAGGATCCGCGTGCCCAGAGATTGAGCTTAGGCTCTAGGGTACTCTCAAATCTCCAAAGTCTGCTTAATTTCAGCTCAAACCAAATATCTGCCCCCCCCCCCCCCGCAAGAAAGATGAGAGTGCTTCATTGAAGCACTGGATTCACCCAAACTCGAGCCCAGAGTCCATGGGGAAAGAACACCCCCAATCACCAACCTGGGTATCGCTTCCAAATTACAGTAGACACACTGGGAGCTCATCCACTAGGCAGAAGAAGATTTTTCTCTTCAAGCACCATCATACAATAATAAACTGGGGCATGACACTACTGTGGGAACTGCCTGCAGCCGGGCTGACAGCAGACTCCAGCAGAATAAATCCCATGTTCTTAACCTGGAAATGTGGGGGGTTTTTTTCCCTTTTATCCTGTTTTTTATTGCTGCTCTTATCTTTTTCCCAAGGGGTTCTCAGCCCAACATACAGGATTAAAGCCTTTGACCTGGAGTCTGGGGGATCCCAGTAAATATTCTTACCATATTTATCTCCGTCTTCTCCTTTGGCACTGATCCTCCTGCCGAGCACTTGGATGTGTTTCCCACTTGTCCTGCTGTAGAGCTGATAGAGCCGAAGCTGCTTCCTGCTCACGTCGTCCCTTGCTCGCGTCTGGTTCTCCACGTGTATCCGAAAATCTACATTCTCCTCGGCAGCAAACATCTGAGAGCGGATGGGGAGGGGGGAGAGAGAACAGAGCAGACCATGAAACAAAACGAGCATCTTGGACAGAAAGACTGCGCACCAACCTGCCAACAGGCACGTGGCGCAAGAGGGCTCAGATTTGGCTGCCCTTGGCTTGATGTTTGCGGCCGCAGTATCAGGCACTCCACGTGTAGTTCTAGCCAGAGCTGGCTCTCGACAGTAAACCAAACCTGGGATTTTACAATCAAACTGTGGGTTTGGGTTTTTTTTTTTCTTTTTTTGAGTAAAAACTTCTGCTGGGTCCTGCTTTGTTTTAATCCTGGTCAGCCACGCTGGCCATAACTTAGGCTCTCCTTTGCGTATGCATAGCCAGGTTACACGGACACGTATGGGAGAAAGGGGATGGACAACTCCATTGCAGAGAATTTGTGCTTCACCTTCAGCAGCTGCACTGATTCCCTGGATTAACTGCAGGGAAGAAGTCAAGGGAAAAAAAACTATTTACGCAGTGGTGAGCAGAGTGGACGCCAGCTTCGCACAGGCGTAAAATCTACTACGATAAAAGTGTCATTCGTACATGGGTGCTCTTCAGCCTAACTTTTTTTTGCCAGCTCTGCTCTTCAGTGAAGCCAGCTCACTGGTGACTGCCTACAGATGCGTCTCACAGCCACGGCTTGGGGAGAGATCAGGGGACCAGCGAGAGCCAAACCAGCACGTCCAGCTGCGAGGCCCTTAGCAGCTGGATACCCGATCACTTCAGCCACTTCATCTGGTTTTTCTGGCCAATGGATTAAACTAACCTTAGTTCACTACAGCCTTAAAATATTACCAGAAACTTTCTCTGGCACATCTGCCCTTCTCTGGAGGTCTTGTTTCCTATCTCAACTGTTCCCAAGACATAACAAAATGGGATTTCTGCTTTTGCTCCTTCCAGAGAGTCATCCCGCCTTGCCCAAGGTCAGAGGACCAGAAACCAGGCGTTCTCAAGATGCCTTCCCAAAGGGGAGGCTGGGCAGCACGCACCCAAAAGCACTTCACACCCAAACAACATGAAAGCCCCAAAAATCACTCCACGATCTGTCCCCAAGAGTGTTTGCACCACGACATCCACGCTGCCCACTCCAAACTCGCAGATGGGCAATATTTTGGTGGCAGACTCCCTTCACGGGACAATAAATCCTTTGGAAACCAAACATAAAAGATTATGGAGTGGCACACACGTGAAACCACTGCACAACAGGCAATTTTTAATCTGACCAAGAGAAAGACCATTCAAAGTCTACGCATTGTGGTGAGCTCTAATGCTGCGTACGGCTTGTGTGTGAGAGACAAAATCCACCACAAAATAAGAATCACATGGGAATTTAATGATGCCTAGGTTTGCGACTGGCAGAGGACAGATATTTAGTCCTAGCAGGGCTACTTCTCCTCCTAACACACTCCTGCTACGGCACGCTTGTCCTCCTGGCCTGCAAGGAACAGTCTTCCGATGTACTGGTGTGGGGATGGAGCTGGCGATGCAAATGAAAAAAGGGTCAACAAATCCTCGTTCAGCTCCATTCCAGGCTAAAACCCATCAGAGCAAGCGGCCACAACACGCAAAACAGCCCCACTTCAGCCTCCTGCCTATGGCATCTCATATCAGCAAATATGTTGAAGCCAAATACCCCCTGAAAGTCAAAATCTCAAAAGAACTTTTTAGCGTTTCCAATTATCAAGCAGACACAGATCAGCAGCAGGAGGAAACTTTCAGGCAGGCAGTGCTGCTTAGCACCAGACCTTCACTAAGCAACCCAAACAAAAACATTATATTCAACACAGTGGCAACGGCAATGAGGTTCACAGAGATGTTGTGGGATCACCTTTGCTGCCCTTATTAAATGCTGGGATTACGCTATTTGAATCCCAAGTCCTATGAGAGAAAGCGATTTAACTCTCTTATTTTACTGTCAGAAGTCAGGAGGACGCGGTGGGAGCTAAGTGCACAGGCCGAGCGAAAGGAGATTCGGGGCGATGCTGGGTCTAAACAGACATTCAAGGCGACGACAGAGGTGATGGACAAGAATTGCACGGTTAATCACAGCAACGTTTCCCACTCCCAGAAAACAGCGGAGCAAGAAGCCATGACCCAAAGCTGAGGAGGAGAGAGGAGAAGCATCCATGGACCTGCCAGGAGGGCATGCGGGATGCTGACGGAGCTTGTGGCCATCACCGAGCCCGGCTCCGCTCGCCCTCCTCTCCCGAAGCACCGCAGCTACCTCTGAGCACAGCAAGGAGAAAAACAGAATCTGGCTTTTGACATCAATAATATTAATTCCTTTTTTTTCTTCCTTCATGTCCTCTTGCTTTCTTTTCAAATGATGCTGTTGCAAAGGACGCTAAACTGCCTAAAAACCAGAGATGTTCGAGTAACGTTGACAGTCTGCCTCATACCCACAAAGGCGAGGCTATTTGCAGTTAAGATTCTGGCTCCATCATTTTAAGATTTAAAACAGATTTTAAATCAAGATGACGTCGCTACATTGCTTTCACCACATGTTAATGAATTTCACATTTTTGCAGGAAAAAAAAACAAAACAGGTGGGATCTGAAGTGGGGGGAAGGGCAGGTTGCTTTGCTTTCTTGGAAACTTCAAACAGAAAAGGCATTCTGTTTTCCAAAACATGTTTTAATTGTCTCTTGAGCAGTCACACCGCGGAGGCCCCAGCCCATAGCCACAGTGCCTGGGTGGACCCTGGAGCACCCACGGAGCCATCCTGCGCTCTGGTCAGCTCCAACCACACCACGAACCCCCCCGCGCACGTTTGTCGCAGTTCTCCTGCCCGAGATCAGGTCATTAAGCGTCTCCTCCCTTCGCAAGAAGGGGACGGTGCAGCCCAGGGGGGTGACGTCTCCTCCTCCTCCAGCCGAGGGTCTGGCTGGCATAGAATCACAGAATTGTTTAGGTTGGAAAAGACCTTTAAGATCCCCAAGCCCAACCATTCCCCTAACCCTGCCATCCCACCACCAAACCCTGGCCCTAAACACCTCATCTGCCTGGCTTTTAAATCCCCCCAGGGGTGGGGACATGACCCCTTCCCTGGGCAGCCCCTTCCAGTGCTTGACAACCCTTTCATTGAAAAAATTTTTCTTAATGTCCAACCTAAACCTGCCCTGGTGCAACTTGAGGCATCACCCACCACCCCAACGCCTTGTCCAAGCCCAGCCGTAGCCTGACACGGGGATCAGCATGGGACACGGACCCCTGAAATACAGTCAGCCCAAGCGTGTATCACTCCATCACTTCTCCAGTAACAGGCCCAGCTCTAGGGAAAGGGAAAGAAAACCGGAGGAGGAACGTGCTACAGGTTCTCCTTGCAGCTGACCTGTCCCTTGGTCAAGAAGCCACGGTCCAGAAGAGCAGTGAAACCACCAGGGTTTAGCTGCCAGCTTAAAGATAAGCACACGCTTAACCACTCTGCTGAAACAGGATGCTCGGCTGGAGTGCGGCCAAGGTGAATTAGCCGTGCCAGCCTGGGTTGCATCTGGCCTGCAGCACAGAGTATCAATACTCAAAAATAAAATTTCATGCAGTGTCGATTTCACGAGATAAAACCTATTTGATCATTGCTGAAATCCATTCTCACAGTATCCCTGCCTGAAAGAGCACACTCCCTCAAGCAGCTAACTTTACTGAGATAAGAAAGTCCATTTATATATACCATAAGAGAGTCTCTCTTTCATAAATCTCAAAAAAATTAGTAACATATGCCTCCTTCGGTAACTGATCACCAAAACTCACTCAAGAAGGTCACCTAAAACCAAGTCCATCCACCCCCAAATGCATTTCCATAAGAATCACAACCACACAAAACAAATGCAGAAATGCCCTCGAACAGTTAAGAGCTTTCACTTGCGTTCACCAAAGCAAAAGGAAATTTTTTTAATTTTTTTTTTTTTTTACTATTAATACGTTATTGGTGCATATAAAAACATCATACACAAAATGACCGCCTCTTTTCTTGGCCTTTCAATCTGATCATCTACACATCCTACAGACTCTGGATCCAGAGTTCAGCACAGCAGGTCCCCGAACCAAATGGCCGCTTGCACCTTCTAGCTCCCGACCAGCGCCGTGTCCCGTGGGACACTCTCTAGGGACAGGAAAAGGATTTCCAGCATTACTTTATCTCCTCCAGCGTTCTGGTGAGATTTGGGGTTGTACTGTGGTCTATTTTACAAACCTATCCAACTGGTATGGGCCGCTGCCTACGCAGGACAACTTCAGCGTCTCAGGACAGCGGGTTTCATCTAACTCCGTCTCATTCCTTGCCAGCGGTTTGTGGTCTGCAAAATCCCAGTTGTTAAAACAGAGCATCAAATTTGGGGTTTTTATTCTTCCTCTCTTTTTCTCTTCAATCACTTCCTCACCCATTTATTATTTATTTATCACTACATCTTTCAGCGATAACATAGAGCTACAAAGACATCCTAAAAATACAGCTGGCAATACAGAGCTTACGCAAGGGGATACACAGCTTTCCTTTCAAAAACAACCACCGCCTCAAGCAACTGATGCATCAGAAATGCCTCGCTCCTGCAAAGCAGCAGCTCTCCCTCCCCTCTGTTGTACTTGCCCAACCATTCGAGGTAGGCGCGTTTAGTCCTACCTCTCCTTTCCAAATGGCCACAGAAACCAGAAACGACATCTGTCTTCAGACAGCCCACACCGGGAGATTTTCAAGTGCTTTTTTGCCGAATGATTCTCAAACAATGAGTGGATTTCATTTAAAATGGTTTTACAACAATCCTTCAGCTTAAAGAATGACTCCCCTATTTGTTAAATCCCAGATGGAGGGCGAGGGAAAGACCATTTTGCTGATGCAGCTGAAGGTTTCGCCGTTAAGTAATCCAAGAAATGCTCAAGAACGGCAAAAGCCTCTGACAGCAGCAGCGCGGTGTTAGTCCTACGCAAGCTTGTGCCACCTCTCTGCAAACACCGATGCCTTGTTGTGAATGGAAAGCAACCACGGCTCTGCCAAGGTCAATGAAGCCCTCGCGGTGCCAAGCCGTGTTTACGGGATTTGGCTTTCCATCCAACCAAACTCGACGCACTTCAAATTTTCTATTTTGAGCTTTCCAGTAAGAGGGGATGTTAATCTGTTATTGTTCATGTCATAAAGCGTTACAGCATGAGATGTCCAAGGGCCACAGCGTGGCCAAGTTAGCTGGGAGCTGGACTTCAGATTTTCCTGGGTTTTTGCTTTTTATCCTACGGAGCCTCCAAGCCTCATCAGAGAGCAAACCACATGTCATTCCCCAAAACTGAGCTAGGAATACAAAATCCCTCTCGCTAAGGGCCGTACCGATTGCAAAAGATAAACAAATCAAGCTATTCAAAGTCCTTTCAAACCCCATCTGATAAGCAGGAAATACTTACTAGCTTTCAGCCATCAAATCAACCCAATATTAATGATTTTCTCCATGACCTTCTAAACACATGAAAGTTAGCTCGATAAGGTCAACAAGAGGATATCCAAGACAGATCTCTCTCAAGTCCGCAAAGGCAAGTAACAAAGCACTTTGCTTCCATGACTTTGGCAAAATTCCTCTGTGCCAACTACAGCAGGATTTGCTCGCTCACCATGACAGCCACCCTCGACAAACACTGAATCGCAACGCACTCCTCATTCGCCGCTTTTTTTTTTCCTCTCAACTGCGAAGTCAGTCCGTCTCCAGGATATTGTGACCTTCAGGTTACAGAGCCTGGCTCGAAGCCAGACAGAAGTGGATGTGTGCTTCTTTGACGTATTCACTTCTTTGGGCTTAGAAGCACATTTGGAAATTTGTCTAACACAAAGCGGCTCCATACCCAGGCGCACAGCAGGAAGCCGGAGCGAAGGGAGAGGGCGCTTCAGAGGGAACCTCTGTGCATCCAACGGGAGAGAGGCTATGGCGTGACAGAGCCAGAATTGCACAAATGTAACTAAGCCTTTAGAATAACAGAACTTAGGCTTTTGTTTTGGTGTTTGTTTCTTCCCTCTATACACAGAAAAATATTTTTTCCTTGAAAAATAAATATCAAAAAAGCTAAGTTGCACTCTCAGTCTTGGGAGATGTTGCCTTGGATGACGACCACGTACCCTCCAGGATGTACCGTAAGACAGGGCAACATGGCGCACCACGGAAGCGGTCGTTCAGAACGATGCAGACATGAGAGTCCACAAAAGACTCCACCGATGGCATTTACAAAGTATTATTTCACTTGAAATTCGTTTTGATATTTTTTTTTTTGGTGGGATTTCATCGGATAAGCATGAATGTCCTATTTAAACCCCAGATGCCAAAAAGATCGCTCTCCACAAGAGCCATACCACTCTACAGCCTGTTCATAAATCGAGTCATGAATCATCTTTTGTCTTTGCTTCCTTAGAAGGCTGCTTCAGAAACACCTCCCTAATATTCTCTGCTTTAATTTTCTACCTTGTATATTTACATCCAGTTCCCATCTGTTTGTTCTTGTACCAACAGTGTCCTTCAGCTTGAATAATATTCTTCCTCCCTGTGCTTCTCCTTGCGATACACGTTTGGGCTATTCCCTTTCTCCACTCTCTTCCCAACCTCCATTTCGCCATGCTGGGAGAAGAAAGCCAAGTACCAGACCACCTACACCTCCCCTCCTGCGCTTGCTCTCGTCGCAGAGGAGCTCCTGCCCACACCGATTTCACGTGCCGAGCTCTCCCTTGGCACAGGCCCATGCAGGAGACATTGGCCCAGCATGAGGAGAATCCCAGAGCTCTCCCCACTCCTGCACAGATTTCCTCTGAAATTGAGCCCCTCGTTTCTTTGACTCAAGCGCTTTCAAGTTGCTGCAGTACGTGAAATTTAATGACGTTTGCTCTTTGTTTAATGCACTCAAAGCAAAGCGCATGTAGGGATGGAGCTGGAAAGGAGAAGGAAATGGGGTGATGAGGGGGTCGAGCCTGCCCGTCCCTTTGGATTTCAGAGAAGACGTTTCCATGGCTTGGAAGAGGGGACATGCAGCTCAGTGAGGTGACACATACTTGGATCCAAAAGCTGCTCTGCAAGCGGAGCCTCCTTTTCTCCAGAGAGCTGCCTGCCGCGTTCAGAGAGGCCATGCATTAAATCTCCTCGGGCAGCATCAGACCTCCATCCTCTCCAAAACGCACAGCCCCTGAGAAATAGGGCTATTGCTCAGCCAAACTCCCCGGCATCTCCCCAAGATCCCGCCAGCTTTCCAAGCCAGGTACCGCTGCTATCCAGCTCCCCGAAAGCAACATGTCCATTGACCCTTGGCTGGCAGACAACAGCGTTACTGAGCCTGGTATGAAACCATGAGGAAGGCAGGAGGGAGTGCCAAAAAACTGGAACCTGAGAGAGTTTTAGGAAACGAATGTTTTATGGCCCATCAGTCAGTATTTGGCCATTTTCTAGAGAAAGATGATGCCGCCTTCAAGAAAACCAAATTCCTCCTTTTGATGATGGAGTTAGCCTTAGCCAGAACTGTGAAAACGCACCGTTTGTGAGACGGTGACATTTTAAACTTGTTCCACCCTGGGAAATGGTTCAGTCTGGGGAAAAGCAGGGCTTCAGCCTTGATTAATGACTTTTAAAACCCCAGCCGTACTCACGTGCAACCAGAGGAAGGGAAGGTGCCTCCAGCCCGGCACGGGAGCGTGGCTGAAGCGCCGTGACACAGCCCTCCTAAACGGGCTCCAACACCCCCATCCCCTGCATCTCCACCCGCATCTGCCCATCCATTCTCAGCGATTCAGAAGCAGGACGCTGCCTGCAGCCCCCAGGCCGCCTTATTAATATCATTGCCACGAGCAACAGCAGCCTGCAAGAGGGAGCCCACCCCTCTGGCGCCCACCTTCCCCCCGCAGGAGCCTGTGTTGTGCCGAGGCGCGGCAGCACCGAAGGGGCCAAGACCGAGCCAGCTCCCGGCACCAAAGGGCACCTCTTTCCCAGCGGGACCAGCTCCCGCTATCCATGCTAACCAAAGCAAACCAACCCCATGCATCTCAGCTGCAGGGGTATCTGCAGGACGCTGCCTCTCGCCACCAGCTCTCGACAGTTTTGATTCCCTGGAAATACACTTCCGACCTTAATTCTTTTTCTTATTTTTTCTCCAGCTGTGGTATATCTTTTTTTTTTTTTTTTTTTTTTTTTTTTAAAATTCAGGGCTGGTATTATTTTACCACAGCTATCAGTCAGGCAACGAGCAAGCAGGGCTTTCTCTTTCTTCCTTTCTTTCTTTGTCTTTCTTCCTTTTTAATGCTTGTTATATCTCTGCTATATACTTCCTCTCCGCACAGAAATATCCCTTCAAAGCTTGATATTATTGAGCAGCTTTCAGCCCTGCCCAGCAGAGCCATGTATTCTCTGCACTTGTCCGGCCTTTGTTTCTAGGAATGAAATACCAATGGCTGAACAGTGTGACTTCATTTCACTCCTTCATTCCAATACTTGTTCTATTTCTATCCCACTGGGTCAAACTCACCTATTGTGAGACCTCACCGATTTCAATTACATCAGGGATTAATTTGTTCCATTGCGTTGAAGCTGTTAATACAATCCTTGCTGGCTCTAGATTAGAAAAGGCACGGTGGAGACCTCCCTCGCAGGCAGTGTGTTTAACAGCGGTCTTGATCTTCATTTTTGTTCAGCGGTGGGGTTTTTTGTTGGGTTTTTTTCCTTCCCTTTGTGCCCCTTTGCCCCTCTTTTCACAATCTTCCCCTTCCTTTCTAAATTGCCCTTATCAGAACTGGGTGGTCCTTCTGACTTTCACTGCAACGGGCAAAACGTTGCCTTCCAAAGCCACTGGCCAGGGCTTGCGGGGGAGGTCGGCACTGGAAGGAAGGTCTGGCCCAAAGCCACCCGATGCCACGCAGATGTGACCACTCTGGCTGTGGCACCTCATCTCCCCCAGGATGGTTTTGAAGGGTCACTGCAGGTCCCTGTGTATCCCAAGGGATCTGCAGGTGCTTGGTTCTGCAGCTCCGACCATTGGCCGACCCTCAGTTGACCAAGGTCTCGAGGGGAAAACTTGAGATCCACCACGCAGCAGATGGAGGCACTGAAATGCACATTTGTCAAATAACTCTGGTTGTCCTTCCTGGGGTTCCCAAACTGGGACACAAGATCATGACAGAGCTTTAAAATCACAGAATCATAAAATAGAACCATAGAATCGTTTAGATTGGAAAAGCCCTTTAAGCTCCCCCAGCCCAACCGTTCCCCTAACCCTGCCATCCCACCCCCAAACCCACCACGTCTGCCCGGCTGTTAAATCCCCCCAGGGGTGGGGGCTTGACCCCTTCCCTGGGCAGCCCCTTCCAGTGCTTGACAAACCTTTTGGGGAAGGAACTTTTCCTAATGTCCAACTTAAACCTGCCCTGGCACAAATGTCCACCCCTGTGGTCTCATAGGACATCTGTGAAACCCTTTTAAGGCGATCTCAGCAATCCTGACTCAAAATTGTCATTTATCCACGTGATTTTCTCCCAGAAAGAGATACTGATGCAGGGAGACTTAGAGCCCATGCGGGAGCAAAGCAGTTTAGCTTTGCTCAAGTGCTACAGCTCTGTCCCTCAAGATCCACTGCTTTTCCATTTTAAAAAATCCAACCGCGTCTCAGTGAAACTGTATTTTTAGGAAATAGTGTGGTGATTCCAGAATAATAAGAATGGGAGTTTCAAAAAGATAAGGGGCGGGGGGGGGGGAGGAAGAGGATATTAAAATAAACCCCAACAAACACATTCCTCCCTTGCATACGGAAATACATCGAATTTCCATGGTGGCTTCATGGGGTCACCTCAGGCTTCCACAGGGCACCTCTGTGCAGCCTGGGCTGCAGAAGTTGCAAGGGTTAATGCCGTAGCTGTCAAACTCACCAGGCAGAAGTTGGATAGGCTGGGTTTCTGGGCTCCGAATTTGTTCCCATGTTCAGCATCTGGTTTTCCAAAATGTACAATGTTCCCATTTACTACTGCACTAATTTTTTTTTTTTTTTTTTACTGGAAGAAACACAGGAATAAGCTGGACCAGTATCACCCAACTGTTTATTTAGCCCTGCCACTCACCTTAGACCTTGGCGGGGCTGTCCAGGGAGAGGGCAAAGCCCCCACGTCCCCTCCATGCACATCCCCCCCGCCATCTCTCACGCCAGCCACCCGCTCAGGTCTCCTCCCCCTTGGTACCAAATATCACCTGACCAGCACTGCCTTGTCACTACACGGCCCGGACCTGGACAGCGTATGACCACAGCGACCCGTGCCTTGGTGCCAGCAGAAATCCTCGCACCTCCCCAGGACCGAGACCTCACTGCACGGACACTGCCCTAGACACGTCCTACCGAGCAGATCAAACCCACCCTGAGACACACAACCCACAGGGAGGACAGGATCGGCTCTGGAGGATGTGTCACACTACAGCAGTCTTCACAACAGTCCTGATCTGCAAAAATCACTGCTTCCACAAGCCTAAGCTTTCCAAAATGTTCCCCTTTATGGTTGAAATCTCCTACTGCGATTTCTCCACAGATGGTTTTGCTGGGGAAGAGCTAAGCTCCCATCGTTGCCACTTCACCGCAGTTATTTCCAGCACCGTCGAGTTCAGTGAGGGCAAAACAAAACCCAAACCAAATCCCCCCCTTCCTACCATGCCTCCCAAGGGTTGCACTTTCTGTTCGGGGGGAAGTTTCAGTATTTACTAACTCCCCACACGCTCTGCTGACCGGTGGCAACATCCCTCAGGCTTCGCCACGGGCCATGTGCGACCCAGGATCCCTGCATGGCTCTGTGCCACTGCCACCGCTCCGTGCTGCTAGCACCAGGCCATAAGTATTTTCAGAAGTAGTTTCATGCCCGTGTCCCTCCTCATAGCATGGGTATTGCTGTAAAGATACCCGCAAGAAGGCTTTGCAGAACAGCCCCCACCAACCTCTGGGAGATCATGGATCCACAAAGCCAGCGGTTGGATACAAGGAGCTCGTTATGCTATAACTGCCTTCACCACCTTAACAAAAAGAAAAAATAAATTATTTTCTTTATGGAGAAAATACCCCTGCTGAAATAAACTGCCCTGATACGCAGGAATTAAAACCATTCAGCGATTCAAACTGTTGCAAGTAGTGTTTTTGAGCAGTTGAAACAGGCGTTCAAGAAACAACACCTCAAGAGGAAACCAGAAAGCCTCTCCAGCCCAGAACAGGCTAAGAGCAGACCCGGTCCTTGAGCAGGCAGCAGCACAGCAACCCGTGCCTGAGCACGTACCGCCGGCGTGGCGAGCCGCGGAGGAGGTCCCTTTTGAAGCAGAGCAGCACCAACTTGCTCCCAAACAACTTAAAAGCCTTTGCACAGAGCACAGGGAGCTCTGCAAAGGTGAGAAAGGCTGCCCCTCCCCTACCCCCCCCCCCCCCCCCCTCTTCCCCTGGGGTGCTGCCGGCCGGGCACACGGTTTGTCCCCATCGCCCTCCACTCCTCGCCCCATCTCGCACGCAGCAGTGGAGGAGCCCAGCTTGGCCATGCCGTTGGGTTGCAGTGGAGACCAGGGCAGTCCTCCCAGTGGGGTGCTCCTGGGACAAAAGCTGCAGGCACCCCACTAAAAATACTTACCAGCAATTTGTTCGTCTCTTCAAACGAGACCTGAGTCCAATTACTGAAAATCCTGCCAGGTTCAAAGCACTCCCGACCTTTTCTCTCCTTCCCTCCATCAGCAGCAACTTCCTCCCGGGACAGATGCTCCAGCTGCAAACCCGTTTGGCCATGGCAGAGCGGAAACCCCAAGCCCACTCCCCTGCAACCCCTCGGGATTTTCCAAACCCTGGAAAAAGGCAGAGTTATCCACCCTTAGGACTTACAACACCGGCCTAAAGCACGGGCCCATCAGGTCCAAGGTGACATCTCTGGCTCTTCTGCTCGATACCAGCCCAGCTGGAATCTCCAGGGAAACAGGAGCAAAAGCACAAGATGTGGGAAACCCAAGCGATGCTTGGGAAAGCGCCTCTGTCAGAAGGAGACAGAAGGTCACCAGAGACGGATCTCCCCATAAAAGAAATAACCCTTCGCAGCGGCAGCACCGCAGCGGTGATCCAACGACGTTTACCCTGGTAGCT